TTTCCCCTTCACCATATTCCCATGTATGTAAACAATTAAAAACCAAAAACAAACCAAAACAAAAACAACCCCCAAACCAATACAAAAGCGGGAAATGCATGTGTGGCCATGCCTCACAAAATAGGTCGGATAATTGAAGGGAGTCCCGCAGACCGCTGTGGCAAGCTGAAAGTAGGCGATCGGATCTTGGCCGTGAACGGGTGCTCCATCACCAACAAGTCACATTCAGACATCGTCAACCTCATTAAGGAAGCAGGAAACACCGTTACCCTGCGCATCATTCCGGGAGATGGTAAAGTATATGTTTCCTGCTGTCTTATCTGACCCTCTTGTTGGTTTTGTTCCCGGGCTTTTTGCATCAGTCAGAGCTGCAAAGTCATGGAGGACTCAATTTCCACTCCCACTTTGGGAATTAGCAGTGAGGGCGGTTGTGAGTCTTCCATAGCTTTATTCTCTGTTTCTTTCTATAGAAATGGGAGTTCTTTTTTTAAACGTGGAGGTGCTGATTCTACATTAAAACGGTTATATTCCATTCTATCATGCTCCTCCATGTGTCTCCTTAAAATGATCTTCTGCATAATTGACGCATATCTTGGTACACTTTGATTTAATTCTTAGGTTAATAATGCAGCATTAGAATATTTGGGAATCCCTTGTTAACATGTGGGATTTCTGAAGCTTAGCATATACACAGGCAGGCTATAGGGCAAACAGATCACAGAAAGGGATAAACACTGTGTCAGGTTTGAAGCTGTTTGAAAAGAAGATTTGTTTTTATTCTGGGTAAGTTGCTTTGGGAGCAAGCTCAATACATTTTGAAATTACTTTGTTAAACGGCGATGGCTCTGGAGCTGCTGTGTGCATGCAGCCGATCGTTGTAAGACTTACCCGAGACAGGGTCTCCCTGTTGCAGATCAAAGGGAATGTGCAGGATCCCTCATAATATGCTGACACTTGGTGCCGGTTTCAGGTCACTGAACTATTTAATCAAAATAAGGATCTGGGTTATGTATCAGTTTCATTAAACTGATCCCTAGCTGTGATGCCAAAGAGGAACAGAGCAGAAGCATACGTAAAGTATCTATAGCAGAACTGAAATTGCTGTGGCTCTAAATTCTAAGTATTTTCTTTTGCGTAGTTTTAAGAATTTTTTAAGGAGAGTATAGACTCCTAATGTGAACGCTGAGCCAGTCTTGTTCATGCAAATATGTGTACAAAATACCATGTTAAATTGCTTGGGTTAGAAGGGAAATCTGTACCTGTAACTGACATCAGCTATTCCTAAAGAAGTTGGAAAACTGTAATTTAGGAGAGGAATCAACTCTTCTCTCTCATAGCACTGCAGGCTTCAGGTATTTTTACTTACTGTCCCTTTGAAATTCCAAGTCAGATTGCCAACTCTGCATAGAATTACCTCATTTAATTTCCAAAAGCCAGTAAGACCAAACACTCTCAAAATTGCTGAGAGGTTTGCTCTAGGAAAATGAGATTTAAGAAATTGGTCTCAATGTTGTTTTCTTTTTGCTGTCTTTGGGTGGTTTTGTTGATTTGTTGTTTTCTTTTTGTTGCTATTGGGGTGCTTTTTTGGTAAATATAAATGGTCTAACGGTGCACTTAAGGAGGGGAAAGAATAAATCAGAAGCCATGCTTCTCGGATAAACATAAAACTAAGGCTCATCACAAGACTCACAATAAACTCACACTGCTAATCTCTTCTAACATTATTAAAAGCACCAAGGGTTTTTGCTGTGTAGTAAGTCTTGCACCAACTCACTGCCATAGACCACTGCAGGAGTGCATTTGCAATGAAATTATGACGCTTTAACATACTACCAGCTGATGCAAGGATACAGAGAGCTGAAAAGCTACAAGCTTATATTAGTCATTTCAGTGGTGTCTGAGGTTCTAGGGCAGAACAGGGCAAAGAATCAATGAAATATTTAGGATTTAGAATGTACAATTGTAATTCTACTAGAGAGAATTTTTCCTGTATTTGTGTTCTGTTCCAGTTTTGCATGGTGGCTGGCATGCATCCAGTGTCTAAAAAACTAGCAAAATTATGCATAACTCCTGACTCATGGGACAGGGTGGGCTAAAGTTAGACACAGTACAGTGGTGTGAAAATACATCTGTACCAACGTGTTGTTGCTCTGCTTCGTATTTTTAGTGTGACCTACTAAAGGGGAGGAATCTTGCATTCTCTTTGAAGTCCATCTTCATCTGATCTCCAAATATTTGTGGAGATTTTCAGAGGCTTTTGTTCTGGCTGAACACAGAACACTTAACCATGTTTTAGGGTTTCTTACATTGGAGACCCATTTTAGCATCAAGGCATCTTTACAAAATACACAGAATTATTTCTTAGAATCCAACAGTGTAACCACACATAGAGACATCTTCTCACACAAGCCAGCTGTCAGCGGCACATCCTCAGAAGGGCATGTTTTGGGCAGACCCGGGAGCCTCGCTTGCTCTCTGAGCCACCAGACACAAGCCAGCTCTGGTGTGGAAGATGTTACAGCTCCATATGCTGAGGGTTTGGGCACGTTAACTTGGGCACAGTGCTGCAGGCAAAGGAGTTGTGCTGTCGTTGCACCCATCTGTTTAAATGGTTCTTCTTTTTCTCTTTCC